CCCCCGCGCTGTGGTGGCGGCAGCGGCTGCAGTGGGGAGCGAGTGCGGGCGGGAGCGGCCGAGAGCCCAGCGCTGCCCCAGCCCGAGCTGCCCCAGCACCATCACTGCCCCTGCGCTGGGATGCTGTGGGTTTGGGGGGAAGAGGGAGCTGGCAGTGGGTGCTGGGCCTGGGGGCAGGAGGCGAAGGGAAGGAGAAGTAGGGTTGAAGAACAAGATGATCAAATGATGCATGTGGGAGGAGCAGGTGGGATTGTGCAGGAGAAGGAGGAAGAGGAGTGTGAGGGGCAGTAGGGACACAGGATGAGGATGCGGAGTAGCAGAAACAGGAAACACCACAAGGTTCCACCCCTCCCTGTATCTGCAGGCCCCCCCAGCCCCAGGAGCATTGCACCCCCGACGTGCTGCGGATGATTGGGAAGAAGGATCCATGATTTGCACAGGGGTAAATCTTGGTGTTTCTGAGCTCTATTTGGCTAAATATTGGGGCTGAGGTTTTTCTGTGGGTTCTGAATCTTCATATTTTTTTCCTCGGTTCCAATGTAAAATGTGCCCAAAAGTATGTATTCTGTCACCATCTGTTGAAGCCAGCTGGGTTAGGGATCCTTATCTCCATGGGAGATATCCTCTGTAAAAGGGCCATATGCTAGAAAATAGGTGGGGCAGTGTTCTTTATCTTTTCCTCCATCCATCCTTCCTCCAGGACGATATCAGATATCTTCTGTTAATGGGCCATTGAGTTCAATACATAACTGATAAAATTACATCATCCATTTTGCGATTCTGCACCCAGGGGGAGGAGCCAAACGTTTCGTACCTAGATTCAAACTGAGATTTGGAACACCAAATCATCCCTAACCCACTGGTTTCCAGAGGACAAGAGCTACCAGACGTTTCTTTGGAATCACTACTTCAACAAGACCACTTCATCTGGGCTGCTACCACCACCCTAACTAGAGGGGTGTAAGGTTGTATTCTGATTCTGTCAGTTGTTTTCTTTTGTACTATCTCATGTATTTTTTTTCTCTAATCTTTTTTCCTAAAAAATTTTATTTCTGACTTGGAGTCTCTCACTGGTTTTGCTTTCAAATCAGCACAATTTTGGAGGGGATTTTGACTGAATCTTGGTGTTTGGGAGGTTATTACAGACACAAGATGCTCAATGACTGCCAGAGATGAACTTGGGCAAGGAGGAACACCCAGTTTATGGAGCTCTCTTGTTTTTTCCCCAGACCAGGATTTTTCATTCCCACGGCGTGAGGAGATGGAGGAGGCAGAAAAGCCCCGGAGATCTTTAAGGAGGAGGGGCTGCAAACCCATCCCAGAGAGCTGCGAGGAGGAAAGACCCTCCCAGAGCCGGGAAGGCGGCCGGAGATCCAGACAGAGCTCAGAGCTGGTGGAGAAGCCTCCTGGAGGGGAGAAGCCCCACAAGTGCTTGAAATGTGGGAAGGGTTTCAGGTGGAGATCAGACCTGATCCGACACCAGGTGATCCACACTGGGGAACGGCCCTATGAGTGTGGGGAATGTGGGAAGGGATTCAGAGACAGCTTCGAGCTCATCCGGCACCAGCTGATCCACACTGGGGAAAAGCCCTATGAGTGCGGAGAATGTGGGAAGAGCTTCAGCAACAGCTCCAACCTGATCCGGCACAAGATGATCCACACTGGGGAAAAGCCCTACGAGTGTGGGGATTGTGGGAAGAGCTTCAGCAACAGCTCCGGCCTGATCTGGCACCAGAGGATCCACACTGGGGAAAAGCCCTATGAGTGTGGGAAATGTGGGAAGGGTTTCAGCAACAGTTCCTACCTGTTGCAGCACCAGTTGAGCCATACAGGGGACAGGCCCTACACATGCTTGGAATGTAGAAAGAGCTTTGTGTGGATGTCCAACTTAACAAAACACCAGCGCATCCACACCGGGGAGAGGCCCTACAAGTGTCCTGAGTGTGGGAAGAGGTTTCAGACCAGCTCCAGTCTCCTCGTACATGAGCGGATTCACACAGAGGAGAGGCCCTTCCGCTGCCCCGAATGCGGGAAGGGATTCACTCTCAACTCCACCCTCACTGTCCACCGGCGCATCCACACTGGTGAGAGGCCCTACAAGTGTCCTGAGTGTGGGAAGAGCTTCTCAAAGAGCTCAACCTTGAACCGACACCAGCGGAGGCTCCACTAAGGGAAGCCCTGTGTCACGATCCGCTATGAATGCAGAGTGGGGGTCGTGATGGTTCTTTTGATCTCAAAGGTGCAAACAGGCAAAATGCAGGGGACAAAATCAGTTTATTCAACAACAGAAAATCAGTTTATTCAACAACAGCAATGCATTTCATTAAATGCCAACAATTCAGTTACGATAGAGGGGAGAGATATAGGAAACAAAGTATAGAGAGAGAGAAAGAAAAGAAGGGGATGGGAAAATAGCTACTAACAGACGAGATGGGCGTCCTCACGGCCCAGCCGGTAGACAAGTCTTCATCTGTGGGGAGATCTCAGGGGTCTTCTCCAGAGGGTCGCTCTTTTATAGTCCTTCTCCAAAGCGAGTGGCCTCTGGCCAAGAGGTGGGAAGATTTATGGACCATTGTGTGGTGCTGCAGGAGACAGGTACGGACAAGCAGTCCTCAGTTGGTACAACACAACCTCTGGTTGGTGCCACAACAGCACAGTCCAGTGAACACAATACACCAGCACACATTCACGAGCATCCACCTTGGCCAGGCCAGGAAACCATTGTTGGGAGTCAGCCTGGGTGGGGGTCCTCGAGGTCTCCTTGCGACGGTCGGGAGGCAAAATGGAGGGGAACTTGGGACCGACCCTTACACCCAGGGTGGCACAAATCCGCGGCTCCAACAGGGCCCCGCCCGCCGCCGTCCCCCGAGGCCTCCCCGCTGCTCTCCGGGAATCGGACACCGCAGGCGGTCCCGGCCCTTCCTCTTCTTCCTTTTCTTCCTCCTGACAGCATTGAGCCCCCGCCGCTGCCCGGCTCCTTCTGCCGCTCCTGCCCGGCACGAACCGGCGCTGGCGCTGACGGGGCCGGAGCGCGGCTGCCCCGCGCCTCAGAGCCGGGCCGAGGAGTGACCGCACGGCTGGGGAGGGACCCCCGCTGGACAGGGCACGGACTGACCCCATGGAAGGGACCCCACGCCCTGGAGCAGGGCAAGGATTCCTGTCCCTGAGGGGGAAGCAGCGGCACGAACTGACCGTAACCCCCATCCCTTCTCCCTGCACGGCTGGGCAGCGGAGGGAGGGAACTGGGAACTGTTGGATTTTTACATTCCTCGTTACAAAGCAGAGTCACAAGTGGAGCTCCGCTTTCAGCTCCTAACAGGGGAATCCAGCGTGGGCGCTGGGACTCCCGTAATCTCAGGATGTTACTTGATACTCGACACTTTAGTTTTGGCACTATGAAGCCCTTTCAGCAGCAATGTCTGTCTCACCCACTGGTTTGTGGCTCAGACCCAGCCCGGAACATGGACAAGAAACCGTAAGTCCCAGGAGAAGTAGCTTTGCCATTACTTTATTTTTTTCATTCTTATTTTAAATTTAATTTTAGATAAAATACATAATTTACTTTTTCTATAATCTCGTGTTTATTCTCTGTGTCCCCCCAGCCCTTGTCCCCCTCCCGGAGGTTTGTGGCCAGGTGCCGTCCCACAGCCCTTCCTGCCCCGGCACCCGTGGCCGCTCCGGTGCCGTCAGGCCCCGGCTCGAAGGGAAACCACAAACCCCTCTGGAAATAAACCCGGTCTGGGGGAAAGCCCTGCAGGGGGGATTGAATCCCACGGGCAGCGCTGGCTGAGAGTTGGAGATTCCAAATGCTCCAAGGGGCCGGAGGGAACCGCGCTGGGGCCTCGGGGCCTCCCTGGGGCACCTCTGAGACCCCCGAGCAGAGCGACCCCTCCTGCTCCCCAAAATCCACAGGTTTGGGTCTGCTGAGGAAAAGAGCTGGAAAAAGGGATTGGAAAGGAGCCCGAGGAGAGTGAAACAGTAATCTTAGAAAAGTTAGGATTTTATTTAAAAGTTATTTACTAGAATAATATAAAAAGCAAAGAGATAGATTGGCCTTGCTGAAAAGAATTAAAAGTTAGAAGTTAATTAGAAGAAAACCGGGTTTGAGACAGTTATGTGAAACTTAAATAATTGTTTGCCTGTCATTTTATGTTTGCTCAGCTGTGCTTGCAATGGGAAAAGATGAAACTAGTCGGTAGATTCAAAGAAACACAATTGCAACCAGGAACTAATTCGAAGTCACAAAGAGAAGGAAATTTGAGTTGCCCCAAAAGCCATTTGTATTGCCATTGATAGAAAAGGTTGAGAGTTCAGGGCGAGGAAGACTCGCCTTTCTTCCTCTTTTTAAGACCCCTCCCCACAAAAACGACCCCAGACTTAATTCAAGAAGCCAACCACGCATGTTTAATAGCCACTCAAGCTAATTATCACAGGAAGTGGGGGGATGGGAGGGGCTGGTATTATGAATATGTATTTGTTTGAAGCTTTTGTCAATAAATCGACTCTGTGATCACCTGTAATTTTGCAGTGTGTGTTGGAGGGTTACCTCACACTGCTGCCCAGCACTGAATAAACGTACACTTTCTAACTTTAAATTGTTAGACGGTCTTTTGTCCGTCACAGTTGGATATCGGGAATAGACCAATACTCATATTTTGGTAAATCATTTGGTGACCGTGGCAGGACTCTTCTCTCTGGCCGAGGGCCAGCGAGGTTCGGGACCCCTCTTGGCCACCCACCTGGGATCTTCCTAGGAAGAGGGCTCCTTTTCCTCGCTGGCACCCCGGGGGAAAGAACCAGAACTGCCGGAGATATGGACAAAAAAAGGTATGTTTAAAAATTAAAGATAACCACCTTTAAGAAAAGCAAACTGGTAAGACGCTGCGAGACGTCGAGCGCGCAGTGAAAAAGCCTAAAGTGGATTTGTTTGTAAGTTTCCGTGGAATTTGGCAGTGGTTTGTGTTCCGGGTGAGATCAGTAACAGCCCCAGGAACTCTTGTCCCGAAGCGGGGCCGGTGGCGGCCGCGGGGAGCGGAGCTCGCCCGGCAGCGTGGGCAGAGCTGGGGCAGCGGCAATAACAGCGTTCATGGCAGGGCTATGGTGTTTGTGGTTTAAAGGCGGCGCCGTGGTGGTTTCCAGCTTGGGGCACTGGCCGCGGGTGTTGGTGTGGGGTGACTCCATTTGCAGTCGCAGGATACGGTGATCACAGTCTGTGCGCGCCGGGTGTGTGTGTGTGTGTTTGAGCGTGCAGACAGATTTTGGTTTTGTGAGCTTGGTGTGATTAAATTGTGGGTTAGCGGCACACTGTGTGTGTTTTGGTCTGTGTGGTTTTGGGAGCGTGTTGGCAAAAGTTCTGTATTTGTAGGCTTTGAAAGAATGTTGAAATTTACGCCTGAGTAGTAGAAAGAATATTTACACCTCGAAAGACGGAGGAATCCGGAGCGCTTGCATTGCGTGATTTGCGCAAGCTAAACTGTGTGTGTGTATTTTGACTGTGTGTGTGTAAGCAGTGGAATTGTGGACAGTGTATTACTGAGTGAGAGCGGCAGTTGTGTGTGATTAAGTTGTTTGTTTTGTGTTTAAAAGAAGCGAGCAACACGGGATGGTCTAAAAATTACACCCAGCATAGTCTGGCATAACCCCGGCATTGGGCACCGGTGGGGTGATCCGAGTTTTGCTGCTTTAGACAACGTCTCAGTTTCTGCTCAACCCCGAAAAGTTTTAATTGCGGCTGCTTGTTTTACCTGTGATTAGCAATTTAAAGGGGGGAGAAAACGAGTTTTTGTTTTGCCATTTTGTGTAAGTGTTGTGAGTGAAGTGTTTAAGAGTGTTTGGTTGTGATACGTGAGTTCCCTTAGAGGTGAATAAAAAGGAGTTTTCCTCAGTTGATTAGTGTGTGTGGTGAGCATTTTGGAAAAAAAACTGATTCCAATTTGTGTTGAAAAGTATAACCATTTGTCTTGCTCAGTGACTTGAGCTTTAGGAGAGTTATTTTAAGTGATTTGGTTTTTACTGTTAACCCTTTTTTGTCGGTTGCTTTTATCCATTTCCATTTCCCTTTGCTAGTAAAATTATATGTCAAGGAATAGAAGGTTCAGGGAGGGGAATCCCAAGCCAAAGGAACTTCCCTGTCCAAAAGGGAGCTGTGACTGTAACCCATGGGTTGTGTTTTGTTGTGCAGTTTTTCGAGAATTGTGGGTTCAACAATTTTGTAAGTGGAAGATACCTACAAGTGGAATTTATAGTAGACACAGAGCAGTATATTTGATGTTAAATAAGGCCCCGATCCTTACAATAAATAATTATGTTATAGTAAAAGGGGCGAATGGCCAATCTGAGAAATCATAGTTTTGCAAACCACTAAAGTATAAATTGGGGAAACAGTGGGGAATTAATTGATTTCTGTACATGCTTAAAGCTCCATCTACACTTTTGATCAGGGATCTGCTAGAGCAGTTGGAAGCAAAAATAATATTTAAAGATGGGAAAATTAGTTTGGAGGTAAAAGATCAGCAATATGTGGAACTGTTAAGCTTAATGCTAAAAACCAAAGAAACTGAAGCTGAAAATAAAGAAGAAATTTTTAAGAAAATAACGAATCAGGTGTTCCTGGGAGTGTAGGCCTCTAATATAGCAGAGAGGGCAAAGAATGCTCTACCAGTGCAAATCAGGCTCAAAGAGGGAAAACAATCAGTAAGGGTCAAACAATATCCCTTGAAAAAGGAAGACAGAGAAGGGATCAGTCTAATCATTGAGAACTTTTTGCAAATAAGAGTATTAAAGGATGTCCATCTGATTTTAATACTCCTATTTTGCCTGTGAAAAAGCCTGATGGATCATACAGGTTTGTACAAGATTTAAAGGCTGTTAATAAGGTAACTGAAGATTTGTACCCAGTGGTTGCCAACACTTACACCTTGTTAACTCATTTAACACCTGAACTAACCTGGTTTACTGTTTTAGATTTGAAGGATGCTTTCTTTTGCCTCCCTCTCCATGAAGCCTGCCAGAAAATGTTTGCATTTGAATGGGAGAATTCCAAAACTGGACATAAAACTCAGCTCACATGGTGTGTACCACCCCAGGGGTTCAAGAACTCCCCCACCATATTTGGAGAACAGCTGGCAAAAGATCTAGAATCCTGGGAAGCTCCATCAGGAGAAGGACAGCTGTTACA